GGCTTGATCCCCAGTAGGGGGAATGCAGGAGGCAGCCAATCAATGATTCTCTATCACCATTGATGTTTCTATCTCTCTCTCTTCCTCTCTGAAATTAATAAAAATATATTTTTTAAAAAAGAAAGAGACAAACTTAAAAAAAAAGAAAGAAAGAAATGTTTACTGATCAAAGAAGGTCAACCTAGAAGATGGGAGACCTAGTAGTACCTCAAATCCATCTTAAAATAGTACAGAGTTCAGGCTTCTATTATGTCAAGGGAGGGAAGATGGGAGGGATGAGAGGTGATTGAGGACCTGCAGACATCTGGGTGCCAGCAGGGTCTAAAGAAGAGGAACTCTGAGCGTAGTCTGTTGACCTGTTGACCTGTTGACCCTCCTGGATGTGAGTTCCGTCAAGAGGTCCATGCAATCATGGATAAGCGATCATTATTATTTTCTAAAAACATTTTTATTGATTTCAGAGAAGAAGAAAGAGACAGAAACATCAATGAAGAGAGAGAACCACCAATCCGGGACTGGCTGCCTCCCACACGCACCCCACAGGGAACGGAGCCCACAGCCTGGGCATATGCCCTGACCAGGAATCCAAAATGCTCAACCACGGCTGGGAAACAATCATTATTTCTGTACATACTTTCTTTATCTCCTCTGGAGAGGGAGGCACCTTCTGGTAAGGCGCTGTTTTTGTAAAACTCAAGCCTCAAGCAGAATTCCTCTAATGATTAGCATGTTTATATGCAAGACTAAGCAGAAGCTATTAACCTGAAGGCCATGGGAACAAAGCATGATTGAACATGATGGAGTCAGAGGCTGGCCATTTTACTCCTTTACCATAGTATGTACAGGGTTCAGTACTATCCCTGGTTTGGTTTCAGGCAGCCACTGATAAGGGGAACTACTGTCATTTGTTATGCAACAGCATTAGATAACCAATACCTACAATTGGCAGTAGCTATTTCCATTTAAATAAAGTGCAAAGTGGCTCTAAAAACAATTCTACTCTGGGTATCTATTTTTTTTTTATTCAAAAAGAGCTGTCAGCACTTGGGTATCTATATGGAAGAAAAAACCCCAGATGGAATCAAACCAGGATAGCAGAGGATATATATCATAATGTTAACATAAAAAACAACAACATTGAAACCTGTAAGAATTTTTGTGAGTTTATTTGAGCCAAACTGTCGACATATGCCAGGAAGCAGAACTTCAAGGAATTGAAGTAATGCTCTGGAGAATGGCGGGTTACATTTGTATTTATACATTGCAATCAAAGGAAAGGGAAGTGGGTGAGTTACGTGAAATCCATTGGTGATAAACTAAAACTAGAGAGGCGGGAGAAAGCAAAGTAGGGAAACTCCTGGGATTGGATAAAAAGTAAAATGATAGCCGAAGCCGGTTTGGCTCAGTGGATAGAGCGTCGGCCTGTGGACTGAGGGGTCCCAGGTTCGATTCTGGTCTGGGGCATGTGCCTGGGTTGCGGGCACATCCCCGGTGGGAGATGTGCGGGAGGCAGCTGATCGGTGTTTCTCTCTCATCGATGTTTCTGGCTCTCTATCTCTCTCCCTTCCTCTTTGTAAAAAATCAATAAAATATATTTTTTTAAAAAAAGTAAAATGATAGACACATCAGGAACAATTAACATGATAATAAAGGCATTTGTGGTATCTGTCCTGGCACCCAGCACATTAGGTTGTGCCCAAGGGGTCCAGAAAAAGGGAAGTTACAAGTTACCCAGACATTTCAAAGGGTATGTTATTATAGATGCAAAAAGACAGATAGGCTCAGTTAAGGTAAAGGTTGACCTTGTCAGTGAAGATACTGGCCTAGGATGTAACTGCCCACCATAACTGCTTTTAGTTAAAGTTTAATTTCAGACCATCCTTTGTGGTTACTTTAGGTCTCTGAGTTTGCAAGACTGCCATGCAGGCCTTCCCTGAGCTTGTCAGGTTAGCATGTGGCCCCTTTCGTCCACAACAGCATATTTTCAACTCTGAAAAAGTGAATGTCCATAAACTATAATGCATTGCTTCTGTTGAAGGACCTGCAGTGGGTGATCTAGGGGCTGTAATGTAGCAATAACTCTTTTTTTTTAAATATATTTTATTGATTTTTTACAGAGAGGAAGGGAGAGGGATAGAGAGTTAGAAACATCAATGAGAGAGAAACATCGACCAGCTGCCTCCTGCATACCCCCTACTGGGGATGTGCCTGCAACCAAGGTACATGCCCTTGACTGGAATCGAACCTGGGACCTTTCAGTCCGCAGGCCTACGCTCTATCCCCTGAGCCAAACCAGTTAGGGCTGTAGCAATAACTCTTAAAAAATATATTTTTTTTACTAATCTCAGAGAGAGAAAGGGAGAGGGAGAGAGGGATAGAAGCATCAATGATGAGAGAGAATCATTGATCTGCTGTCTCCTGCATGCCCTCCTGGGGATCGAGCCTACAACCCGGCATATGCCCTGACCAGAAATCAAACCATGAACTACCAGTTCATGGGGGTGGCCACTCAACCACTGAGCCACACTGGCTGAAATAACTCTTATTAAGTGACAAGGACAGCCCTGGCCAGTGTTGTTTAGCAGTTAGAGGTCAACCTGTGCACTAAAGGGTCGTGGGTTTGATTCCTGGTCAAGGGCACATACCTGGATTGCAGGTTTTATCCCCAGCCCTGGTTCAGCATATGCAGATATGTCTCTCTCTCTCTCCCCCTTCCCCCTCCCTCTCTTCTTTCCACTCTCTCTGAAAAATCAATGGAAAAAATGTGCTTGGGAGAGGATTAACACACAAAATAAAAAAAGTGACAAGATACATAGTGAAAAGATACATAGTATTTATGTAAGAAACAACCAGAGCTTTTAGTATTGAAACCATCCACAGCCTTCAGCTCAATGTCTTCATCAAGATGACTTCTTATGATGCCATGCTGTTCCAACAGGACTTTATTTGGGAGGATAAAGTTGCAAATAACTGTATTGTTTCTTTTAAGAACTTTCCAGAGAGAATTTATTATCTGAACAATAGGCTACTCAACTAGTCACTATCAGAGGGATAGTCTCATCTCAGAACAACAGAGGTCAATTGAACACGTTCAGGGTCTGTTTACTCTTCAGGGGCTTCCAACCCTTCAGCTAGAGGTGTCCTTCATGCCTGAAGTGTTCTATCAGGAGCTCTGCCCCATAATAATCAATTTCCAATATTGAAGGACCCACACCAAAAGCCTTATAAATACAGGGTGAGGCAAAAGTAGGTTTACAGTTGTTCCTGTGGAAAATTATATATATAAAAGGCTAATATGCAAAGTGTCCCCTTGGGAGTTTGACCGGGAGACTGGGAGTTCGACCACTCGCTATGACATGCACTGACCACCAGGGGGCAGTGGGAACAAAGGAAGGCCCTGGCTGGCAGCCAGAAGGCCCCAATCGGCCCTGATCACCAGCCAGGCCTAGTGACCCTACCTTGCATGAATTTCATGCACCAGGCCTCTAGTTAATAAATAATAATACAAGAATTAACTCTGTGTTTTGTGTACTCACAACTGTAAACCTACTTTTGACCCACCCTGTATAAACATCCGGCTTTTGACCCCTGCTTCCCATACAATTCCATTTTCACACACACAAAATTAACAATAATTTCTTAATATCACCAAATAGTCAATCACATTTCCTAATTATCCTGTACATGTCCTTCTTTGCTGCTTTTTGAAGTTTATTTGAATCAAGATCTAAACAGGGATCTCACATTGCAGTTATGGGATGCCTCTAAAGTCTCTTTTAATCTTTGGGTTCTCCTCCGTGTTGTATTTCTCTTCTTGTTGAAGAAACTGAGCCCTTTGTTCTGTAGCCTCACCCGGGCTAAATTTCAGCTTATAATATGACTACAGGCCCAGTGAATGAATTCCTGCACATGTGGGGTCTGACCGGCCTGCCCCCTGGTCGAATTGGGGTGGGGGAGAGCTGACTGGGGGTGGGGCCAGCTGGGAGGGGGACCACAGGCGGTTGGTGGGCTGGCCCCGCCCCCTGGTCGAACTCTGGTTTAAGTCCCAGTCGAGGGACAATTTGCATATTACCCTTTTATTATAATACTAGAGGCCCAGTGTACGAATTCGTGCACCAGTGGGGTCTCTTGGCTTGGCCAGCGGGAATGGGCCAAAACTGGCTCTCCGACATCCCCTGAGGGGTCCTGGATTCCGAGAGGGCGCAGGCTAGGCCGAGGGACCCCACCAGTGCACGATCGGGGCCAGGGAGAGACATGGGATGTTGGCCAGCCGGGAGGGCTCCAGGGCGTGTCCGGCCCATCTCGCTCAGTCCCAATTGGCTGGACCCTGGTGGTCAGTGCACGTCATAGCGAGCGGTTGAGTGACCTTAGCATATCATTAGCATAGTACACTTTAATTGGTTGAACGGCCAACTGGTCGAATGGACACTTAGCATATTAGGCTTTTATTATATAGGATGATGATGATGATAACCGCTGGTGGGTATGCAAACTGCTCTCTCTGAATGACAGGATTTATAATGTTCGGTTCTTATGTTTCTATCATGTATTGCCTTTTTTTGTTGTTATTGTTGGGCTGTTAATCCTCCCCCAAGGCTAGTTTCCCCACCGATTTTTAGAGAGAGTGGAGGGGGAGAGACAGAGAAACACATACATGCCCTTGACCGCCATTGAACCTGGGACCATTCAGTCCGCAGGCAAAACCAGCTAGGGCCCCAAGATACAGAGTTTTAAAAATTTATTTTTGGGAGAATCAGAGCAAAAAAAGTTTGAAGATGTGAACAGCTCTCCTAGTAACATGAGACCTGAACCCTCGTAGGCAAGAGGGGCACTGGGAGAGGTGCGAGTCGTTTGAGCGACCCTGGAGGCGCCCAGGACGCCCTCATGTGGCCGGAACTCCATTTCCCATAGGCCCGCACGTGCAACTCCATTTCCCACAATTCCCGCTCCGCTTCCGGCGTGGCCGAGGCGCTGTGGACGGCTTCCGGGTTTGGGCCTGGCGCTGCGCTTGTGGCGGCGGCGGCGGCGGCGGCGGCGGCGGAGTGGGACACGGGAGGTGGGAGCAGGGGGACCGGAATGGACGTTTCGGGGCAGGAGGCGGACTGGCGGAGCGCCGCCTTCCGGCAGAAGTTGGTCAGTCAAATGTGAGTAGGGGCCGGGGCAGCGGACGGGATCACCGGACCTCCCACCACCCCCCCGCAACCCTCCCCCTCCCCCGCGCGGCGGGCGAGGCCCGGGCTCGACCCCGGGAGACTTATGGCACCGGGGACCCGCGGGGGCTCGAGGGCGCTGGGAGACCGAAAGCGTCGGGGGGCCCGCGTGTGTCCGAGGGCGCGGCCCTCCTCTGGCGATCCTCCTCCGGCGGTCCTCTCTGTTCTCGGCCGACACGGACTGCTTGTTAGCTTTCCTGGGGCCGAACTATGAAAACCACCGAGCCTTGGCTTATGAGTCATCGTCCTGAGCTTTCTTATTCGTCATTTGTGTGCTTTGGGTGCAGACTTTCCCCTGCTTTGAATCACACTGAATAAGAAAAGGAGGCGGGACAGCCCACAGCGGCTTTAGCAGGTCTGGGTGCTTTGCGATTTCTCTTCCAGAAAAGCGTATCAAGATGAGAGAAAGATTGGAGGGAGGCGGGTGGAAGGTAAGGAGGGGAGGCTA